CACGCGAGAGACAAAATTCGCCAAGCGACTCCCGCGACTCCCGTGTCGCCCTCACGAACGAGGAGACAGATGCGACAGCGTCAGATGTCGCAAGACGCAAACGGCGAGCCGGCTGTCTTCGAACTCGGCGCTCCGAGCTGGACGACTGGCGGGCGACATCGCCCCAGCGACAGCTGGGCGACAACAAGTGCACGACACCGTCGCAGCAGCCGCCGGCATGTCGCAGGACCCTCCTACTATCCGTCGCAGCAGGTAGTTTCAGCCTCAGGAAGACAGAAATATAACACTCGGGAGTCTAGGCCGCAGATACGATACAGTGGGGTATCGCGGAGTCAGAATAACGGACCTAGAAGTCGCAATATCGAGTACAGTTGGGGTCCATATGACGTGGTGGAGTGGCAGGGAAGTGATCAAGAATTCTCCAACTCTGGTTCACACCCAGCCAGGCTCCGTGCAATAGGTCCGGAGGATACGGATATGGTCTACGAGCTTGAGCCAGCTTCGACTTCGAACTTAGCCGAGCCTGCGAGCGAGCCTTGGTACGGGCAGCGGCACAGCGGCGTCCAGGTTCGTGTTGGTCCAGGCTTGGTAAAGGAGGCAGCTGAAGCAGGTGATGGTGAAGATGAAGACGCGGGTTCGAATCCTGGCATTCCCACTCCCAACGCATCTCCGTCAAGCCTCCCTGGGCCTCGATATCGAACAGTAGACGCCCCAATCCATGCCGATGTTAGTACTCAAGGTGTTTCAAGTGATGGAATTGAAGAGAGGGAAGGGAGCGAGGAGGGGGAGGGGAGTGAGGAGGGGGATGAAAGTGAGGAGAGAGATGGGAGTGGAGAGGGGGGTGGGAATGAGGAGAGAGATGGGAGTGAGGAAGGGGGTGGGAGTGAGGAGAGAGATGGGAGTGAGGAGAGGGATGAGAGTGAGGAAGGGGATGGGAGTCAGGAGGAGGATGTGTCTGGGATAACGGCAAAGGCTCAAACTGTTTCTGACGCAGCAGAGGAGACTGGACCTGTTCCGGTCGCTACAGATGACGCTGGCCCAATAGCTAGCCCAATAGCCGGCCCAATAGCCGGCCCAGCAGATGGCACTGGCTCAGTTTCAAATGGAACTGCTGGGGCAGGCGCAGGGACAGGGGCAGAGGGAAAGACAGGAGCAGGCGGGCGGGCAGGGGCAGGGGCAGGGGCAGGGACAGGAGAAGGAGCAGGGGCAGGAGCAGGGGCAGGGGCAGGAGAAGGGGAAGGGGCAGGGGCAGGGGCAGGGGCAGGCGCAGGGGTAGGAGCAGGAGCAGGAGCAGGGGAAGGTGCAGGGGCAGGGGCAGGGGCAGGGACAGGGGCAGGGACAGGGGCATCTGCAGGGGCAGAGCCTGAGAGGGCTAAGAAGGTGAGTGTGGACACGTTGGAAGAAGCACGGATTATACTCAAGGGAATCGATGGAGGGGAGGATGGAGCGAGGGCTCAGATGAAACGTGTTCAGGCCAATGCCGCAGGCGCAACAACCCAAGGCGCTGGCGCTGGTGCTGGCAATGGTGCTGGCGCTGCTGGTGGCAGTGGAGAGGGGGTGGGAGAGGAGGGAGGGGTAGACTGGAGCCACGGCTTGAAGGCAACGAGCATGTATGTGGTGAAGGATGGGGACACGTGCGAGGGGCTCGCTTACAGCTTCTTCCACGGATCGGTTGCCTTGATGCGCGATCTCAACCATGGGTTCGTGTGCTCCGATGCCACTCTCGCACCCAACATGCAGCTGTTCGTGCCGTGAGGGGCGAGGGGGGCGGCTGGGGGGGGGGGGGGAGGGAGAGGGTAAAGAAGGGAGTGGGGGGAGGGGATGGGGTGGAAGGAGGGGGACACGTCCTAGGGGCTCGCTTACAGGCTGTTTCGAGGGTCCCCGGTTATGATGTGCGATCTCAACCACGGGTTTGTGTGCTCCGATGCCACTCTCACACCCAACATGCAGCTGTTCGTGCCGTGAGGGGGTGGAGAGCAAAAGGGGGCGAGGGGAGGCATGAGACAGGCGGTAGGCTAGTAAGCGGGAGAGAGGGGGGGGGGGGGGGGGGGGGGGGGGGGGGGGGGAGGGGGAGGTGGGGAACATGACTCTGTGGGTGTGTATCCATGCTTGGATTCTTGCAGAAGAAAGTGCTTTCCTGTTTCACAAGCAGCTGATTGCTTGAGTGAGAAGGGCGGGGTGGAAACAGGGGGCGGCGGAAACAGGGGAAGGCGTAAATGAAAGCCAGGGAACAGGCAGGGGATCTCAACACGAGTGGACAGGCGGGGTGCAGGAGGGAAGGTACAGAGTTGTAGAGCAACACGTGGAGAGAGTTGCATGATAGGAAGGTTGGCAAGCACATACGGGGAGGGGAAGAGACAGCTAGCCGTGAAGATAGACATATGGAGATAGAGATATGGTTGCTGTAAGATGGAAATGTATCTGGCATATGGAACTGTTCCTTCCCTCACTCGTGGTTGAAAACGCGGCAGTGCTAGAGAAAAGTTTTAATGGTAGAATTGTGCGCGCGCCTTTTCTTTGTGTGTGCTAAATAAGCGTCTGCTTGTTAGTATGCTGAACTTTATTCCTGCCTTGGTTCTTGGATGCACTGAATTGGAAAATGGTGAAGCTATGAATCACGCAGAATAGAGAGACACAAGACCCAAGGTCAATCTACCAATCCACGAGAAATAGTGGATAGCTTCTAACCCTACTTAAGCCATCGCGCGGCTCGATCTTTCATTCTCTACCTTCTAATTCCTCCCGTTACCTCCCTTATCGCTCATCACACGCTCATTGTCGCTCCGTTTTCCTCAATTATCCGTTTCGTCCATTACCTCACGGCTTGAAGTCCGTTTTGGCAGTAGTAGCCTTGGATTTTGCCTGAGTTATGAGGTCCAACGCGTCTTTGTACGTCACTTTGTTAAGCATCACCGACACGCCGTTAAGTGTTGCGACGGAGTTGTCGATCTGCGTAATCACCAGCGCGCGCTGCCCCTGGTTGATTAAAATCACCGCGTTCTTAAGAGCCTGCGCGGTGCTCTTTAGATTCGCGTAGTACTGGTTCTTCGGCGTCAGCAGATCAGCCGCATCCAACGTTAACGACGACGCTGCCTCGAGATTCGCGATAACGGACACGTCAGCAGGGTTGACGGAACCCTTTGACGGCGTCGAAGGAGTTGACGGAATTGACGGAGTAGTCGGCTTTGGCGTGGAAGGTGTGGGTGTTGTCGTCTTCACGGGAGATTTCGGAGGTGACGGCGATGGCGATTTTTTCGGCGACACGGGAGGCGACGGCGTCTTCTTGGGAGGTGATTTGCTCGGCGACTTGGGCGACTTGGGTGGTTTCGGTGGCGAAGAAGGCGACCCAGACTGTTTCGCTGCTTTCTTCGCAGCTTTCGCCTCTTTACGCTCTTCCTGCTCTTCCTTCTTCTTCTCCCTCGCTGCCTGCATGGCCGCATGTCGCTTCTGCTGCTCCGCTTTCTGCGCCTTCTTCGCAGCCATTCGCGCGGCTTTTTCTTCTGGCGTTTCTGTTGCCAGAGTCGTTGCGAGTTGTAACATCCGTCGCGGAATGACAAGGCCCTCCCATGCCGGCTCGTCGTCGCGATTATGTGCGACTGGTTTCAACGAACCTCTAAAAATCGCGGACCAATCGGGTCGTAGCTGAAGGCCTCGTGCCGAAGCTTGTGAGGCGAGGGTTGCGAGGAGGAGGGAGAGTAGGGGGAGTGGAGCAGCCAAGACGGCTACTTTACGAATTCCCATGATGCTCAGCTGGTGTCTTGGCAGGTGAAATAAGAACAAAGGAGCCCTGGAGTTTGAAGAAGAAAGTGTCTGAAGAAGGCGTCGGATTCTTCAACTAGGGATTCGCAATCACTAAAGCTTCACAAATCATCTCTGTCTAGTGAGACGTTTTCAATGTTGGAGGGGGAGCATAAGGAGGAGGAAGGAAACAACATTCGAAAATTTCTTTGAGTGTTGGGAAATCGAAGCGCGGTAAACGGACCGCGCGAGGGAGTCGGCGAACAAATTCTCGCGCTGCCAGTGATAAGGAGGTTGGCGAGAGGCGATGTCGTACATGCCTCGGTTGAGTCGGTGTTGCGATTTTACCACGGGTCTGTACGACGATTTTTGGTGAAATTTTGGGTGAGCCAATCGCAGACGCAGGCAGGGGCAGTGCCTCGAGCGATTTCGCTCATTCCCCCGCCTTTGAAGGACGAAAACTTTTGCGCAACTGGTGCTGCGAAAAAGAGCTTGGCGCGAGAACCTTAACAATTTGACGAAATCCGCCACACCCTAGCTGAAATCTGTACTACGTACACTAAACTTGGTTGTCACAAAGACCAGCAGATAGTTTGACTTGTCACCAATCAATGTACACCCTATTCTCGATAATTTTATACTCTTTAAGCGCACACCGTGGAGTAAATAATATCGATTAAACGTTTAGGTAGGGTAGCAAGCAGCGTTTGAAAATCTATCTGGAGGAGGGAGTCTCGCAACCTACTCGGAATGGAAGAAATAAACAAGAGTTTAACGCCATCCCTCCCCTCCAACTACTCACTCGGAAAATTAAGTGCGGGAAGCGAAACTTACCCTCGTCAATTTCTGGGTGTCCGTCACATCAAGCCAGAAAGAGTACAGGGTACCTCTGAAACAGAGGGTAGGGGGGTGTGCAATTATCGAGAATAGGGTGTACTAGTACAATTTGAGAAATCATTGCCCATTACTTCCTGGTCCAGTTACAGAGCCTCAATACTTCACCAACAGTGCTGTCAACTTTAGTGATTCGACCTTGACCCAGAAGGTCCCGGAGTATAAAAGAATCAGGAATTGCAGCTTTGTGCTTCTTTCGGACCTCCAGCTTTGATTTTAGCATCTCACCAAACCTGCTGCGCTGCAGTAGACCTATGACCTCAGACCGCCCCTGCAAGAAAGCAATAAAAATGCAATTCTGCAGGAGAACATGCAGATGCAGTGACAAAATGGAACGCAATGAAATGAATGCAACAAAGGCAACCTACCTTAGTGAGATGCTGGGTGAATGAGCCGATGTTAGGAAGCGAGAACCAATATGAATCGATGTGTGCCACCTGTGCCACCTGTTGGTGGGAGAGCAAGAGGCAATGCGAGAAGACGCACAGCCGGGGGTAGAAGGTCAGAGGTAATGCAAGAATCTTAACCTAAGCATCCAACAAGGTTTGCAACACAAGCAAGCCTCTATATTTTTTAGATTCTCAAAGCAAGCGTTTACCAATAAGGCTGGCAAGAGGGGGTGCGTGAAATGGAGACAAGTAAAAGGGGAGGAAGGACAGGTGCTTACCAGCAGCCCTGCTTGCACAAGAATGCAGATATGTCTGTCCGCGACACATGACTTGCCAGCATTCGATAGAAGTCGTTCCTGTGGAGAGAGCGAAAAAAAAGAACAAGCATGATGAGCACATGTACAATATGATAAAGAGAAATTAACTAGAGAAATTATCTAGAGTAATTAACTAGAGAAATTAACTAGAGTACCTGTTCCTTGTATACGCACCAGCTGCTGCCGTGATATGCCATGATCCGTACACTGTGGAAGCACCCGGTCTTTGAACCAATCAAACACTGCCACCTGGCTGCTCTCAGTTCCAATTCTACCGCACTTGCGCCTGCTGTTCTCCTGCCTGTTTCTGGACTTGGTACCATGACCGCTGCTATCATCTCTGCCGCTGCAAGCAGCACCCTTCCATGCAAGAAGAGGAAGATCTCCAGCATTACAGGCCATGCGCCGAAGAAACTGTTGTTTGGCACCCTCAACCTGCAAACAATGATGATGGTGGATGATAATCACGACGATGATGACGCACACAGAGAAAAAAGTTTGTATGAGATAGGGTCGTTCAATCCATGTTCTCCTCAGCAGACTTTCGAGTCGACTCAAAAGTCACGTCGTTCAATCCTGGTTCTCCTCAGCAGCACAGTCAAGTCCTTTCACAGCGGCATTGGATTTTCAGGCAAGAATCTCATAAGAGCGATGCTCTCACCACTTGGTCATAGTCCTGAGACAGCAGCACAGCAATGTCGGTTCGAGATGACATGAGGCGGATCACGCGCACTGACCCACTCCTCTGAAGCATCTACAATCAGCAAGGTGGTCGGAGGATGTCAGGCACAAGATTCGTATTGGCCTGCCATGTGGTGGCAACACAGGCTTTTCAAAATGTCATGAGGCGGATCACACGCACCGACCCACTCCTCTGAAGCATCTGCGATTGGGAACAAGCAAATGTGGATTGTGAGGCACTAGTTCCTTACTGGTCTGTTCTGTGCCAGCACGGCAGGGTTAATTTGAAATGACATGAGGCGGATCAACCACACTGGCGTGTTTCTCTGCAGAATCTGCAACCAGCCTTGAATGGGATAAGTGGGGGATCCACGAGTTATCAATAGGGAAGACACCAGGTTCGGAAACGAGGGGAGGAAAACAGCGAGGAAAAGAGGGGTAAAGGAAGGAACTAGCCTGAGGAGGTATATACATACGGGTTTTAGGGTTGTGACCTAAATATATACATATACATACTAGCCAAAATCAGGGCTTTCTGACCTCGAGCTGTCGGTCCACAGTGGTTCGGTGCGGTACCACGGTGTAGATTTGGGAGAGCAGGGCGAAGGGAGGGAGGGAGGAGGCGACCTGCAAGGGGGAGAGATAAGGAGCAAAGGGAGAAGGCTTGTCAGTCAAGCAGGCAGGCTTACTGGTATGTGATGTGCCAGGGTGAGGGCCGGGGGGGCAAAGGAGATCTATGGATGGGATTGGAGATAAATCAGTCGACTAAAAAATCGACTCATCACATGTGCCAGGGTGAGGGCCGGTAGGGCAAAGGAGATATATGGATGGGATTGGGGATAAATGGAAGCTGGTGGTCAAAGGGGAGACTTTTGAGTCGACTCACAAGCAGGCAGGCTGAATGGTATGATGTGCCAGGGTGAGGGCCGAGAGGGCAAAGGAGATATATGGATGTGATTGGGAATGAATGGAAGCTGGTGGTCAAAGGGGCTGAATGGTATGATGTGCCAGGGTGAGGGCCGAGAGGGCAAAGGAGATATATGGATGTGATTGGGGATAAATGGAAGCTGGTGGTCAAAGGGAAGGGAGAAATGCCACTAGCTGCAGCTGCAATTAAAAAAAAAGCAGTACCTTGGAGAGAGATGGGGGGAAGGGGGTACCTTGGAGAGAGATGGGGGGAAGGGGGTACCTTGGAGAGTGATGGGGGGGAGGAGGCACCTCGGAGAGTGATGGGGGGAAAGAGTCACCTTGGAGAGTGATGGGGGGGAGGAGGCACCTCGGAGAGTGATGGGGGGAATGAGTCACCTGGGAGAGTGATGGGGGGAAAGAGTCACATTGGAGAGTGATGGGGGGAAAGAGTCACCTGGTGGGGGAAAGAGTCACCTGGGAGAGTGATGGGGGGAAAGAGTCACCTGGGGGGGGAAAGAGTCACCTGGGAGAGTGATGGGGGGAAAGAGTCACCTTGGAGAGTGATGGGGGGAAAGAGGCACGGAGGAAGTGGATGGCTGCAAGCGTGTCGCAAGGGATGTCCGCTGCATGGGAGAAGCGGAGAAGACGCGGGGGAAGAGAAAACGAGGGGGGAAGAATGAGAATGAGAGAAAGACAGGGAACAGCAGGATCATGCCGTGATGGGTTGATAGTTCATGGTGAATCTGAAACCAACGATGGTTGACTGAAGACTCGCCTTCGTGTGTTAAGAAAGAGTTTGCCTAATCTCTCAAAACACACCAAGGTCGTCACTCGCCACTGGAGCGTGACGTGACGAGTCCAAGCCAAGGTCGAACTGGCGGCTGGTGATCCACTCACCCGCGATCGCATCAAAGTCGTCCATTTCCGCCTGTGGCGACGTGGCGTCTTCTCCTCCTGCTGACTGAACCGCCAATACCGGCCTTTCTTGTTCATTGATCGGCTCAATCGGTTCAGTCACATTATTCGCACTAACCGCTCCATCGTTTATCGTCCTATCGTTGGAGTCCACGTCAGACCTGACGACGACGTTCGATTGACCGCCAGTTTCCTGGAAACGTACAACGCTATCTGCTTTCGCACGGCCGTCAACATCCCGCGAAACGTCAATGTTGTCGTACTTCCTTCGCCGAGGCTCCTGCGAGAAAGGATCGCGAGATGACGCGCCGCTCGCCGCGTCATCGCCATGTGAGCGAAAAGCCTCGTCTGACGTGTCGCCTTGTACCGAATCGGACTCAGATCCACTGTCGGATAGGTCCTCAGGGTCTATAACGAGAGCGGCTCGCTTCCGCTTCAACATCGCTGATGGCTTGGACGGGATTACAATTATCACAAAACTCGTGAAAAATATCTGAAACGCAAGGGCTAAAAGCAGCAATAAAAGCATCGAACACAATCAACAACATGGGTACCCGACTCCCGAGGTGATGTGGAGGTTGAGCTACCAAGCAGCCTAAAAGAAGGCTGGGTCGCTGGGTCATACTTATCGCAGTGCATCGTTCTATATCTTATTGCTATATTATAAAACCTTTATCAAAGTGCCGAGTATACCAGCACTTGATGATGATCCAACCTCGCCCGAGACATAGGAGGTTGGGAGATTGGCGACCTGAAGCCGTCACCGGAACGACAACTGGAGGTTGGGAGATTGGCGACCTGAAGCCGTCACCGGAACGACAACTGGAGGTTGGGAGATTCGCGACATCCACGAAAACGTTTTTGTGGAAACGAAACTACGTTAAAAAGGTAAATCCGAGTTACAGCTGTTAAACTAGGTTCAACGCCGATTGTGGGGATCGAACCCACGGCCACGTGGTTAAAAGCCACGCGCTCTACCACTGAGCTAAATCGGCCGAATTTTGTGCCGTACTTTTTTGTTTTATCGAATTCACAAAGCCGAGCTGGTGGTCAGCAGCAGTTATTCATTGATAAGGGAAAAGCAAATACAAGCCCAATATAATGGTTTTGCCTAGAATAGGAAATTTCGGCATGACTTATTAGCTATGAGGACGATATATATATTTTGTAGGAAAGAGGGGCAATAAAAAGGAAGGAAGGGTCAGGGAGTAAGAAGAAGTAGTAGAGAAAAGAAGAGAGTGGTAGGAAGAGAGGGGAAGGATAGAAGAAAAGACCAAGGAGGAGGTGGGAAGAGAAGAGGAGAGAGGGAAAGAGACTAAGGAGGAGAAAGCACCAAGGGACCAAACACGGCAGCAACCCGCATGACAGCGCGGGCACAGCGTTTCAAGCACAGCCACTATTGTTTTTTTTTTTGTACACACAAGCATCGTATAGATATATACATATATATATATTCCATGTCAGCTACAGTCTCGAAGCACCCTGTGATGTGGTGCCATGTACCCTGCCCCGCACTCAGTGGGACTGGTGCGGGCATCCACCCGTCGTCGGAACCCCCCAACTGCCGCACTGCATGCTGGATGATGCATTGAGCATGCGCGCGCTGCAGTGCCACGGAGAGGCGTGTAGTGAGTCCTGCCTAAAAAAAACGTGCCGATCCGTCATCCCCCCCTCCCCTATCCCTCCTCCGCTGTGCTATCCTCTTTGCGCAGATCCCCATAAACTGACGCAGCGGCTCGCTCAAAAGGCCAAAAGTCTCAGCCACGCACGCGTAAAAGTGTGGTGCTGGCTGTAACCCCTCTAAATGCGGCCCCCAGTGACGCAGCTTCTCTTGCACCCGCCTAGCTGCTGCCACTCCAATCTGTGTGGGGGTCGCCCGTCTCAGCTGCACGTTCCCCTCCCGCTGTGGATCCGCTATAGAGACATCCACAAGAACCATAAAAGTCTGTCCAACGTCGCGGCAAGTAAGGTCTGGAATGCGGGAGGAGGAGGTGGTGCCTACACGGCCTGTGCGTCCAACTGGTCCCTGCTGCTGGCCTGGCTGCTGCCCTGTCTGGTCCCTCGGTGCCTTCTCTCTAGTCTTCTCTCTTCCCCTGTCCTCTCCTCCACCCACCTGTCCTCTCCCCTCCCCTTCTCTACCCTCCCCCAACCCTCCCAACCCCCCTGCTCGATCCCCTGCTGCCTCTCTCCCTCCCTGGTCCTCTCCTCCCGATCCTGCTGCCCCCCATGTACCTCCGTCGGCTCCTTGCTGCTCCCGCCCCTGCCCCACCCCCGAGCCCAAACCCGGCGGCGCGGCGCCCTGGGCCTGCGGTCTCCGCTGGCTCCCCTGCTGCTGCCTCTGCTGTCCCCCCTCCCCGTCCCAGCCTGTCTGCCCCCCCTCCTGTCCCCTCTGCCCACCTGCTCCTCTCGCCACCCGACCCCGCAGCTGATGCTGTCCCCACTGTCCCCCACTACCCGGTTGTCCCACCTCGCCCCTCTGCTCCAGCGGCCCCCCAGCCCGTGTCCCCTCTCCCACCACCGGCTGTCCCTGCAGTCTCGCTCGAGCCGCCTCCAACTGTGTGAACAGCGTAGAGTCCTCCACCTTCACCGTGAAGCCCGCCTCGACCGCGAAGTCTCGAAGCATACTAAGAGCGTATTCCTACGGCCTCATATCAGGCCACATCGTATCAAGATTGAAATTTTTGCCTGGTAAAACTAGCGAGAGGTTTTGGGTCTAGGGAATTTTCGGTGTGAGCCTGATACGAGGTTCGCTTGATACGAGGTGTAGGAACACGCTCTAAGCCAAGGCGTTGTGCACCATGTCCTAACAAATTCAATCTGACCCTCTACTCGGCATTTCTCAGCAAATCGACCAAGAACAGCTCTTGACATATACTGACCTAGACTCTTTGGGCCCAACTCAGGTTGGGCAAATCCTTACGCCGAACTGACTCTACATGGATGAGCCATATCGGGTCTAGATAGATCGGATCGGTTTGTTCCTCGTGCATGCGAAGAGTCACTCAACACCGGGAGCTGGACTACGGGAGAAAGCACGGGTGGTACAGGTGATCGTAGCGTTTGTTCGTGTTCTCTAGCACTTGTGCGTTTACTGGGTAAAACAACAAGAGTTTCACTAACAAACGTTGAGAGCAGTAATGATGTAGATTACAATGGCAAGAAAGACGGAATCAGATGAAAGGCTGCCTAGCAGGCAGGCAGGTCGATGGCTAGCGCAACAAAGTTGGCGACCTGCCAGCACTGCAAGTCGACACCGCGCCAACACTGCAGAGAGGCGGCTTGCCAACTTAGCAGGTCGGAGGCCTGCCAGCACTACACCAAAGCGGCTTGCCAATGCTGCAGCAGGGCGGCATGCCAGCATAGCAACTGCAGGTGACAACACATGCGCGCACCTACTTCGCATGTGTTTGTATACGGTTGAGCACGACGTGCACCGTCACGCACATCACCGAGATGCCAAGTTGGGCCACATGCCTGCGGTTGTGCCTGATGAGCCACGTCGACCACGTGCTGTCGCGTTGGTCGACTTCGCCACAATAACCTCGACGACGAACACACACTTCCGCGGAACTTCGTCAACCATGTAACTCGGTGGACCGGGTGAACCCGCAAACTAGTGTACATGCATGTCGACCGCCCAGCTCGACACAAACCGACGATATATACCAAGGCGACGTCCCCACAGGTCGACGAATCCCCTCGTCGACCACGCTAGTTGAGGTCGGCCGCCGACTTCCCATCGTCGGCGGCTTCGCAGGGGTCCCGCGCAGATGTCCAGCGGGTAGTCGGCTATACATTTCGCGCACCCAACTGCAAGATCAGCTTCGCCCAAGGTGGGCTGTTCATTTGGCGGCATGCCAGCATAGCAACTGCAGGTGACAACACATGCGCGCACCTACTTCGCATGTGTTTGTATACGGTTGAGCACGACGTGCACCGTCACGCACATCACCGAGATGCCAAGTTGGGCCACATGCCTACGGTTGTGCCTGATGAGCCACGTCGACCACGTGCTGTCGCGTTGGTCGACTTCGCCACAATAACCTCGACGACGAACACACACTTCCGCGGAACTTCGTCAACCATGTAACTCGGTGGACCGGGTGAACCCGCAAACTAGTGTACATGCATGTCGACCGCCCAGCTCGACACAAACTGACGATATATACCAAGGCGACGTCCCCACAGGTCGACGAATCCCCTCGTCGACCACGCTAGTTGAAGTCGGCCGCCGACTTCCCATCGTCGGCGGCTTCGCAGGGGTCCCGCGCAGATGTCCAGCGGGTAGTCGGTTATACATTTCGCGCACCCAACTGCAAGATCAGCTTCGCCCAAGGTGGGCTGTTCATTCACCGTCAACAGTGCATACACTCAAAAGGTTCTACGACAGTTTGAAGACATGTAGAACACCGGTTGACGACGGCCATTCCGGCCAAAAAGGGCTTGGTCGAGGTCCCGGGTTTGATTTTTTGGTAAATGTGCACTAATGATCAATGTCGTCGTCGTTCCGTTACTCCACCCCACCCTTCTTGAAAACTCAGGGACTTTCACACATTTTTTTTGTTTAAACGTTTTCCTTACGGGCCAGGGAAGTATATTATACGGATGAGTATGTGACATGAACAAATCAACTCACCCCGACTTGCCCTCGACTGGAGTATTAAGTCGACTTGTTCCGATCATAGGTAAAGCACTTTCCCCATGAATTCAGTAAGGGTTGACGCTTCGGTTAGATCGCATTCCTGCGCACGGACACCATCCGAAGTCCAGCCACGCGATTCGCAATTCATAAATTGACATTTCAATGTTGCCCCACGCGGTGCGTGGTCTGGACACTTTGGTTTCAGTCAGCCAGCGAACGTGCGACCAGCGTGCACGTCACTTGTCGAACTGTGCGATCGTGCCACCTACTTGAGATTTGATCCTAAAGTGATGCGATGCTGACACATTCCTCATTTTTGCTGCCCAATCCAAGTAATCATTCAATCATAAGCACATATTCCAAACACGCATCCCAGAATTAACCCGCTTATTTGTTTTCCTGTGCCCGAAAGTCATTGGTGGCCGTTAGCAGTTACCGCTCGAACGCATGTCGATGTTCGTCTTTTTTGTGTCGCGTCATTGTGTGATTGGCTGCGAGCCCAAACAACATTTCAGTGCTGTTGGCGACAGTTGTCGCCAGCCAGGCCCCGCCGAATGTCCAAGGTGGGGTACTGCCCCACATGGACACCATCCTCACGCCACAACCCTTCAGGTGGGCAAACTTCGGATTGTGTCCATGCGCAGGAATGCTATCTTAGTCAAAATCAGCCCATCTGAATAATGGGTCCCCCCCCTACTTAGGGCAGTTTTTCCACGAAGCGTCTGGCTTCATGCAAATACAACATAGCAGCAGGGAAACCTGGTGTAACAAAGGCTTCGCCGATTGTGGGGATCGAACCCACGGCCACGTGGTTAAAAGCCACGCGCTCTACCACTGAGCTAAATCGGCATGTATTGCAATCCGCAAAACAAATTTGTAGAAAATTTTCAAAATACTAAACCAATAATCAAGCTTGGTGGTATTGCCGTTTATATTTAACACCATGGCGCGTTCAGACGTCGTTCCGGGAGGACGTGCGGGGAAGGCGATGGCGGCCGCCAATGCCGCCGCGATTGGCGGCGGTGGCTCGTCCGTCTCGCTGCAGGACGCGGATAAGAAGAGCCATCGCGCGGCGCGGTCAGGGCCGGCGGCGGAGCGCAAGAAGGAGAAGGATAAGAAGAAACGCGGCGTGGACGACGACGCGGAGGAACGCGAGAACCCGCGAGTAAGCACCTAAGCTGCTGCCCTCAGGGAAACGGGCATTAGTAGCTCCAAGGATGCGAGGAGGACCGCAGGATTAGGTTTGATAGAGTCATGCGGACTGAGGACGGGCAAGAGCTCGCGAGTGCTCGCGAGTAAGACGATTCCAGGCTTAGTCGAAGACTGGAATAGACGTATGTCGGGGTAGTATGTTATAACCCGGGGTTCGTATGTTCAGCCCAGGAGGGAGAGAGGGTTCGATTTACCTTGTGATTACGTGCCACGTCATCAGTCACGCCCCGCGATGGCTACGTCGCAACGTTCGTCCTTATGCGTTCGTGTCTACCACAAGCAACCTGGCTACTACAGATGGAAGTTGCCTCGTGCTTAAACCTTGTACCCTATACCCTGAGTTTTCAACCTCCTCAGCAGACCCCGTTTGACCTTCTGTTTGCTGCTGGCTCTCGCTTATATCTGCCTGGCGTTTACATTTTCGCTCGCTCGTCGCGCCGCCGAGTCAAGCTGCAGATTGCGAGGCGGGTGGAGCTGCAGCAGCAGCAGCTGCGCCTTCCCTTCCCTCCTTTCTACCCTGGTATCCTAAAGCTTTGTATCCTCTCTCTCCCTCCCCCCCCCCATGTCCGCTCCCTCTCCCCTGTAACTCTTCCCCACCTGCCAGGCGTTTGCTTTCCGCTCGTCGCGTCGAGCCAAGCTACAGGTGGCGAGGCGGGTGGAGCTGCAGCAGCGGCGCATGCACGCGCCCAGTGCTGCTGCCACGCGCGCACAGGCATTGGAGCCGCCACCTTTTGTGGTGCTGGTGCAGGGGCCGCCCAAGGTGAGTGATTGTTGTGGTTGTGTGTATCAAAAGCTATGGAGCATGCGTTAACACGCCCATATGCATGCACGCACGCGCCCAGTGCCGCTGCCACGCATGCACAGGCGCTGGAACCACCTCCGTTCGTGGTGCAGGTACAGGGTCCGCCCAAGGTGAGAATAAGGGTCGCGCATGCATGCGCCCAGTGCTGCTGCCACGCGCGCACAGGCTCTGGAACCACCTCTGTTCGTGGTGCTGGTGCAGGGTCCGCCCAAGGTGAGTGATTTGCTGTGGTGTTTGTTGTGTGTGTGAGTGTGTTTATGAAAGGCCGTGGTGCACATGCAGCAGCGGCGCATGCATGCGCCCAGTGCTTCTGCCATGCGCGCACAGGCACTGTAGCCGCCACCCTTCGTGGTGCTGGTGCAGGGTCCGCCCAAGGTGAGGTGTTGTTGTGGTGTGTGTGCGCATGTCACAAGGCACACACATGCGGCATACACGAGTGCCGAGTGCTGTGCTGCTGCCACAGACATGCATTCGAGGCACTTTGGAGAGACAACTGTTGCAGGGTGCTTGACTTGACGAAAGTGTAACAGTTGTCTCTCTCTGGTGTTCGTAGTCGCTTCAAAAGCTGCCGCGGACAGGCAGTGGAGGAGCTATGCTACAGACAAGAGCCTTGTAACCGTTTTGAGACGCCCTGAAACTCATTCTCTAGACGCCTTTTTCTGTGTTCTAATCCGCCCCTGTATGCCAGGTGGGCAAGACGACACTCATCCGCTCGCTGATAAAGCACTACACCAAGCACAACTTGAGGTGACCTTTGCGCTCCCCGCTCTTACGCTCCTCTCCCCCCTCTGCGCTCCCTCCCTGCCCTCTCCCCCTCTGGTAGGTGGGCAAGACGACACTCATCCGCTTGCTGATAAAGAACTACACCAAGCACAACTTGAGGTGACCTTTGCGCTCCCCGCTCTTACGCCCCTCTCCCCCCTCTGCGCTCCCTCCCTGCCCTCTCCCCCTCTGGCAGGTGGGCAAGACGACACTCATCCGCTCGCTGATAAAGCACTACACCAAGCACAACATTCCGGACGTCAAGGGTCCCATCACTGTTTGTCTCAGGTGGGTTATCACCACCACCTCTGTTGTCTCAGGTGGGTAACCACCACCGCCTCTGTTGTCTCAGGTGGGTTACCACCACCGCCTCTGTTGCCTCAGGTGAGTCGTCCCCACCATCTCTGTTTTACCCTTTTCTCACTCGTCCTTTGCGTCCCTCCCCTGTTCTCCTTAACCCTTAACCCGCCCAGGAAAGAAGCGCCGCCTGCTGTTCATAGAGTGCAGCGGCAGCGTGCACGCCATGCTGGATGCGGCCAAGTTCCTTCCTCATTCCCCCTTGCGCCCCCTCCCCTCCGCCCCCTCTCCCCTCTCAGGCAAGAAGCAGTGTGCTGGATGCTCTTATTCATCCTATCTTCTCCTCCTCACTCTTACTTCTCTCCACCCTTACCCCTCACAGGCAAGAAGCGTCGGCTGCTGTTCATAGAGTGCAGCGGCAGCGTGCACGCCATGCTGGATGCGACCAAGTTCGCTCCCTCCTCCCCCTCTCCTTCCTCCTTCTCCACTGCTCTGCTCCCCTCACCCCTTTCCCTTACCCCCCTCCCAGGCAAGAAGCGCCGGCTGCTGTTCATAGAGTGCAGCGGCAGCGTGCATGCCATGCTGCATGCTGTCACCTCTCCGACCTTCTTCTCACTCCTCCTTCTCCTCCCTGCTTTCTGCCCTTACTCCACCCAGGCAAGAAGCGCCGTCTCCTCTTCATAGAGTGCAGCGGCAGCGTGCACGCCATGCTGGATGCGGCAAAGTTCGCAGACCTCGTGCTGCTGCTCATCGACGGCAGCTTCGGCTTTGAGATGGTGGGTGTGCCTACATGTCTATACATGTGTGTGTGTGTGTGCGCTTGCTGTGTGTGCGCTTGCTGTGTGTGCGCTTGCTGTGTGTGCGCTTGCTGTGTGTGCGCTTGCTGTGTGTGAGCGTGCATGCCATGTTGGATGCGGCCAAGTTCGCAGACCTCGTGCTACTGCTCATAGACGGCAGCTTCGGCTTCGAAATGGTGCGTGCGTGTTTCTCTGTGTCCGTATGTCTGTACATACGTGTGTATGGGAGGGTGAGTGTGTGAGCGTGCACGCCATGTTGGATGCGCCCAAGTTCGCAGACCTGGTGCTGCTGCAGCTTCGGATTCGAGATGGTGAGTGTGTCTATATGTCTGTATGTCTGTACATGCGTGTGTGTGCATGCTGCATGATGGGAGGGTGAGTGTGTGAGCGTGCACGCCATGTTGGATGCGCCCAAGTAGTCTGCAGCCCAAGCCTGCCTGCAGCCCAAGTCTGCAGCCCAAGCCTGCAGCCCAAGCCTGCAGCCCAAGCCTGCAGCCCAAGGTTAATGTGTTGTGTGAAATGCCATAGAAGCTTGTTTAGGCGAGCTGCAGTCTAGAAAAAATCTTTAGCAAATGATAGTCAGTAGTAAAAAATGACCCTGTTTAAAAACCGAGAATCTGAAAACTGAACTATTATTCCACTACAGGATTAAAACGCTAAAGTAATGAGAGTGTGTGGTGAGCTGCTGCTGTCTCACTCTCCTGGTGCTGCCTCGGTGTGTAGTTGTGCGCCTCTTGCTCTAAATTTGTGCTCACCTCTCTCCCTTCTTCTCCCCACCACAGGAGACCTTTGAGTTCCAGAACATGCTGCAGGTGCACGGCTTCCCCAAGGTCATGGGCGTGCTGACGCACCTGGACAGATTCAGAGACCCGCACAAGCTCGTTCTCATCCCTGCCACCTCTCCTTTCCTCTTGCCCCTCTCAACCACCCTCATTCTGCCCCTCTCCTCTCCAGGAAACCTTTGAGTTCCAGAACATGCTGCAGGTGCACGGCTTCCCCAAGGTCATGGGCGTGCTGACGCACCTGGACGGCTTCAGAGACCCGCACAAGCTCAAGAAGACCAAGAAGACCCTCAAGCACCGCTTCTGGACCGAGATATACGACGGAGCTAAGCTGTTTTACTTGTCAGGGTTTATTCATGGCAGGTGAGGCTCCCTGGGGTTGTGCGTGTGGGTATGCTTGTTTGAGAAGGAATCACTCCAGCAAGCTCCAGAAGACCAAGAAGAGCCTCAAGCACTGCACGGCCTCTGGACGGAGTCCTACTTCTACGATGGGACTTTTGAGTCGACTCTTGAGTCGACTTTTGGCTTATGAGTCGACTCAAAAGTAGCCTCAAGCACGGCTTCTGGACGGAGTCCTACTTGTACGATGGGGCGAAGCCAAGCTGTTGTACCTCTCGGGCTCATTCATGGAAGGTGAGTGAGGGGTGTTTCTGGCCTGCTGCTGCGTGTGCGTGCACGTATGATGTATGTATGTAAGCTGAGCTGAGGGTATTACAGCAGCAAGCTCAGGAAGACCAAGAAGACCCTCAAGCACCGCCTCTGGAAAGAGATCTACAATGGGGCCAAGCTGTTCTACTTGTCAGGGCTTATTCACGGCAGGTGAGTTACTGAGGGCTGCGCCAGGCTCTCTGGTTGTGCGTGTGTATGTGTACGCTGAGCGGAGGGTATCACAGAAGCAAGACCTTGAGGACCTTTAAGACCTTGAAGACCTTGAAGACCTTGAAGACCTTGAAGACCTTGAAGACCTTGAAGACCTTGAAGACCTTGAAGACCTTGAAGTCCTTGAAGACCTTGAAGACCTTGAAGACCTTGAAGTCCTTGAAGACCTTGAAGACCTTGAAGTCCTTGAAGTCCTTGAAGACCTTGAAGTCCTTGAAGTCCTTGAAGACCTTGAAGACCTTGAAGACCTTGAAGTCCTTGAAGACCTTGAAGACCTTGAAGACCTTGAAGACCTTGAAGACCTTGAAGACCTTGAAGACCTTGAAGACCTTGAAGTCCTTGAAGACCTTGAAGACCTTGAAGACCTTGAAGACCTTGAAGACCTTGAAGACCTTGAAGACCATGAAGACCTTGAAGACCAAGAAGAGCCTCAAGCGCGCCCTGCTTCTTGTGCCCCTCCTACTAACACAACCCCCCTTGCAGGTACCCCAAGCGCGAGGTGCTGAATCTGGCTCGGTTTATTTCAGTTGCCAAGTTCCGCCCGCTCTCCTGGCGAACTGCCCACGGATACGTGGTGGCCGACAGGGTGGAAGATCTAACGGAGACGGAGGAGGTTCGGAGAAACCCTAAGTGCGATCGGACGGTTGCGATTTACGGGTACTTGCGTGGGTGCAATCTGAAGCAGGGCTTTAAGGTGCATATCGCGGGGGTGGGTGACGTGGCGGTGGAGTCGATTACGCAGCTGCCCGACCCCTGCCCGCTGCCCGGGGCGAAAAAGAAGCGGAGTCTGAACGAGCGGGAGAAGCTTCTTTATGCGCCGATGGCTGATATAGGGGATATACTGTATGATAAAGATGCGGTTTATATTAATATTCCAGATCATCAGGTGCAGTATTCTAAGGTTGAGGAGAATGGAAGAGGAGGGAAAGAGGAGGACGATGAGTGGTCGGATGAGGGAGAGGGGGGTGAGGGGAGGAAGAGAGAGGAAGATGATGATGAGGAAGAGGAGGAAGAGGAGGAAGAGGACGAGGAGGAGGGGGAGGGGGAGGGGAAGGGAGGCAAAGGGAAGGGGGGGGGTGGAAAGCAGAAGGATGAGGGAGAGGAGATGGTGAAAACCCTGCAGGCTGCTGACGTGGCGGTTGATGATAAGCTGAAATCGAGCACGATCTCGCTGTTCAAATGGACGGCCCCGATTCGAGACGTGAGTGAGGTGGAGGGAGGGAGGGAGGAGGAGATGGGTGGGGAGGAGGAGGATGGAGAGGGGATTGAAGAGGATGAAAGTGAGGATGAGGAGGAGATGGGTGGGGAGGAGGGGGATGAGGAGGAAACGGGTCTGAAGGAGGAGAGGAGGAGGGATGCAAAGGGAAGGATGAGGCGTGCAGTAGTTTTCGAAGGAGACGGTGCTGAGAATGAGGATGAGGGGGGGGATGAGGAAGAGGAGGAGGATGATGACGAGGAGGAAGAAGAGGAGGAGGATGATGATGGGGAGGAAGAGGAAGAGGGATGGGAGCTAGAGGAGGAAGGAAAGGAGGGAGGTGCAATGGAGGAGGAAGATGAAATGGATGAGGAAATGGAAGAGGAGGAGGAAGGGGATGAAGACGAAGAGAAGGAGGAGGAGGAGGATGAGGAGGGGGATGAGGAGGATGGTGTGAAAGAGCCAACGAGGCAGCAGCTAGAGAAGTGGGCTGATAGGGAGGCCATGGAAAATGAGGGAACAGACTCTGAGGAAGATGAGGAGGAGGATGAGGAGGAGGAGGAGGAGGACGGTGAAGAGGAGGAAGGTGGGAAGGTAGTGGGATTGAAAAAGGATGTTTTGCAGGCCGAGAAAGGGGAGGCTGCGGCCAAGTGGAAGGAAGGCTTGGCTGCTCGGGCAGCCAAAATGTTTTCGAGAAAGCTGAGCCTGATGGAATTGGTTTATGGGCAGAAGGGCGGGGGTGGCATTAAAGGAAAAGAAAAAGGTTTTGGCAAAGGAGCTGGTGGTGAGGGAAGTGAGGAGGACGAGGAGCAGGACGAGGAGGAAGAGGAGGAGGAGGAGGAGCTTTTTCGGCCAAGGAGGAAGCAGCAGGACGGCTCCTCCTCCTCTCAAGCTGCACTCACTGATGATATAGATGCCGAGGATTGTGTGCGAGTGCGTCCAGATGCAGTGAACCTGGCGCAGTGGGACAATCCCGAGGTGGTCGAATCCCTCAGGGACCGGTTTGTGACTGGGAACTGGTCCAAGGCGGGCGAGAGGCGGCGCAAGGGGGGGGCGAAGGGGAAGAAAGGTGGGGGAGAGGATGGGGGGAGTGATGAGGAGGAGGATGGGGATGGGGAGGAGGAAGATGTGTTTGGGGATTTTGAAGATCTAGAGACTGGGGAGAAATTTGGACCTGGGGGGGAAGGGGAGGGGGGAGGCGGGGGAGGGGGAGGAGGGGGAGGAGGGGGAGGAGGGGGAGGGAAGATGAGTGAGGAGGAGAGGGAGAAGGCAGAGGCAGAGGAGAGGCGGCTGAAGAAGCTTGCTCTGCGTGCCAATTTCGACTCCAAATATCCTCTCACACGCTTTCTCTCACACGCTTTCTCTCACACGCTTTCTCTCACACGCCCTCTCTCACGCTTTCCTACTCTGCCCCTTTCATACTCATTTCAGAATCCATGTCATAGTTTGTTGTCATGCACATCAGTTTCTATTTCATTGACACTCTCTCCTTTTGTTTCCGCAAGTCTCCTTTTGTTTTCGAAACATTGTCGTCTCAAATATTTTTGAGGCGCCTCAAAAGTCGTCTCCTTGTGTTTTCGAAACATTGTCTTCTCAAATAAGCCCAAACAGCATTGACTCGCCTCACATAATCATTCTTCTCCTTAACCATCTCCCTCCAACCAACCCCTGCTGTTACGGTCTCCTCTCTCCCCCAAATCTTCCTTCCCTCCCTTCCCTCCCTTCCCCTCCTCCCTTCCTCTCGTCCTCCCTTACTCCACTCTTCTATCGACTGTGGTATTTCTCTTTGCCTGACATTTAATCACATCGAAAGGGGAGGAGGACGAGGAGGAGGGAGGGGAGGATGGGGAAGGGGAGGAGGGCGAAGGCAAGAAGTTTCCTGGAAGGGATCCCGAGGAGAAAGACTACATTGATGTTGTGAGTGACTATTGACAGCGTTGTGTGTGACTAAATCGAACGGCGAGCAGGGATAACATCAATATTGTCTGTTACAAGTGACATTGTCCCTCACAGACAAGTGACATTGTCGTGTGCGTCTATACCATCTGTTTGTTGCGCAGGGAGTGCTACCAAACAGATGAACTGCGCCTGCTTCTCCTTCCTCCTCCTCCTCCTCCTCCTCCTCCTCCTCCTCCTCCTCCTCCTCCTCCTCCTCCTCCTCCTCCTCCTGCTGCTGCTGCTGCTGCTGCTGCTGCTGCTGTTGACAATGCTCCCTCCCCTGGCTGCCCCTGTGCCCTGTCTGCGGCCGGCCCTCCCCCACCACACACTTCCAGTTGAAGGAGCAACTAGAAGCCAGGAAGCAGAGGACGGAGGCAGAGGACGGAGGCAGAGGACGGAGGCAGCTTTGGCAGAGGTGGACGAGGCTCAAGTGCCCGTTATTGCCACTCCTCCCCTCCCTCACTTGCCCTCCCCCACCACACACTTGCAGTTGAAGGAGCAGCTGGAAGCGAGGAAGCAGAGGACGGAGGCAGCTCTGGCAGAGGTGGACGAGGCAGGCGGAGCGGTCTGGCAGGCTCAAGTGCCGTCTATTGTTCCCCCTCGCATCTCTGTTTGTCCCTCCAGTTGAAGGAGCAGCTGGAAGCGAGGAAGCAGAGGACGGAAGCGGCTCTGCCGGAGGTGGATGAAGCCGGCCGAGTGGTCACTCCTGCCTGTTCTCTCCCCCCTCTCCGCCCCTTCTCTCCCCCCTCTCCGCCCCTTCTCTCCCCCCTCTCCGCCCCTTCTCTCCCCCCTCTCCGCCCCTTCTCTCCCCCCGCTCCGCCCCTTCTCTCCTCCCTCTCCGCCCCTTCTCTCCCCCCTCTCCGCCCCTTCTCTCCCCCCTCTCCGCCCCTTCTCTCCCCCCTCTCCGCCCCTTCTCTCCCCCCTCTCCGCCCGTTCTCTCCCCCCTCTCCACCCGTTCTCTCCCCCCTCTCCGCCCCTTCTCTCCCCCCTCTCCGCCCGTTCTCTCCCCCCTCTCCGCCCGTTCTCTCCCCCCTCTCCGCCCGTTCTCTCCCCCCTCTCCGCCCCTTCTCTTCCCCCTCTCCTGCCCCTTCTCTCCCCCCTCTCCTCCCCCTGTCTCCCCCCTCTCCTCCTCCTGTCTCCCCCCTCTCCTCCCCCTGTTTCCCCCCTCTCCTCCCCCTGTCTCCCCCCTCTCCTCACCCTGTCTCCCCCCTCTCCTCCCTCTGTCTCCCCCCTCTCCTCCCCCTGTCTCCCCCCTCTCCTCCCCCTGTCTCCCCCCTCTCCTCCCACAACCCCTGCAGTTGAAGGAGCAGCTGGAAGCGAGGAAGCAGAGGACCGAGGCGGCACTGGCAGAAGTCGACGAGGCTACCCGCGTGGCAATGGAGGGCTTCCCCGTGGGGGCGTACCTGCGCCTGCTGTTCCGCGCACTGCCGGGAGAATTTATGCTGCACTTTGACCCGCGAGTTCCCGTGCTTGTGGGAGCTGTCCCGCCCACAGAGGAAACGCTCGGATATCTGAGGGTGAGTGAATGGGACGGGGAGGGTGGGGAACAACTGAGGGAGGGAGAGATGGGGTGGGGGCGTACATGCGTCTGCTGTTCCGTGCTCTACCCGGAGAGTTCATGCTGCACTTGGACCCGCGGGTTCCCGTGCTTGTGGGTGCTGTGCCTCCCACGGAGGAAACGCTCGGATACCTGAGGGTGAGTGGGATGGGATGGGGAGGGTGGGGAACAACTGAGGGAGGGAGAGATGGGGTGGGGGCGTACATGCACCTGCTGTTCCGCGCCCTACCCGGAGAATTCATGCTGCACTTTGACCCGCGGGTGCCTGTCTTGGTGGGAGCGGTTCCGCCAACTGAGGAAACGATGGGGTACCTGAGGGTGGGTGGAGGAGGAGAGAGAGAGTTGGTGACAGGAAAATCGGCATCTTTGCATTTCGACTTCGGAGAAATGCTCACCAAGAAAATTTCTGCGATTTTTTTTTTCCGGGTTGCCCAAAAATATTTTTGGCTGCGTATCGCGTATTCGCTAGCGTTTAGTGTGTTGCGCGCTAGCGTACATACGCTAAACACGAAGGGTCTTGAGCGTATAATCCAACATAGATCGCAAGGTGCTCAAGACTCGAGACCCTCTTGTGCTTCCAACCCCTCATTCCTCCCTCTCCTCCCCACCCTTCCCCTCCCCCCTCCCCACACTTCCCCCACCAGGTGCGTATGAAGAAGCACCGGTGACACCGGAAAGCATTCAAGACTCGAGAGCCCCTCGTCCTCTCAGCGAGGTGGCGGCGCTTCCAGTCCGTGCCCGTGTTTGCCATGGAGGATACCAACGGGCCACACACCCTTTCCCCTTCCCCTTTCCCCTTCCCCTTTCCCCTTCCCCTTTCCCCCCCACCCCCTTGCCTGCCACCAGGTGTGGCTGAAGAAGCACCGGTGGCACCGCAAGGTGCTGAAAACGCGGGACCCCCTCGTCCTGTCCGCTGGATGGCGGCGCTTCCAGTCCGTGCCCGTGTTTGCCATGGAGGATACCAACGGGCGGCACCGGCTGATCAAGTACACGCCCGAGCACATGCACTGCCTGGCTGTCATGTGGGCGCCCTTGCTGCCACCCAACACTGGCCTTCTTGCCTTGTCATCTGGTGCTGCTTCTGGCAACAGCAAGCAGGTATGTGTTATGAGGTGCCTCAAAGAATGGGGCATGTCAGTGAATGAAAGCACAGACTGATCAAGTACACGCCCAGGCGCTTCCAGTCCTTGCCCGTGCTTGCCATGGAGCATACCAACGGGCGGCACAGACTGATCAAGTACATGCCCGAGCACATGCACTGCCTGGCTGTCATGTGGGCGCCGCTGCTGCCGCCCAACACTGGGCTGCTGGCTCTTTCTTCGGGTGCTGCCAGTGGGAGCAGCAAGCAGGTATGCATGGGATCGAGGCGTGTCAGTGGGTGAGAGCAGGCGCTCATCCCATGTTTGCAATGGAGGATACCAACGGGCGGCACCGGCTCATCAAGTACACGCCCGAGCACATGCACTGCCTGGCCGTCATGTGGGCGCCGCTGCTGCCACCCAATACTGGCCTTCTGGCTCTGTCGTCCGGTGCTGCCTCCGGCAACAGCAAGCAGGTACGGCTTGGATCAGGGCATGTGATGAGGCGATTTTTGAGTCGACTAAAAAATCGCCTCATCACGCTTGGATGAGGGCATGTAGTTGGGAGCAAACAGGGGCTGATAAAGTTGCCATGGAGGACAGCAACGGGCGACACCGGCTGATTGAATTCCTCCCGGAGCACATGCAATGCCTGTTTTGAGACGTCTCTCAAAACACTTCTTCATACACGTGGATATTCCTCCCGGAGCACATGCACTGCCTGACTGTCATGTGGGCGCCGCAGCTGCCACCGAACACTGGGTTGTTGTCTCTCTCCTCTGCTGCTGCTTCACGCAACAGCAAGCAAATATATGCTCTTTCAGAGAGCGGCTTATGCATTATGTACATGCGGTCTCCCCCCCGAGGGCACATGCACTGCCTGGTTGTCGTGTGGGCGCCACCGCTGCCTTTGAATGCACATTCTATTGCGATCGACCGCATTCCACTACATTCTACCCCGTGGTCTCCCAGGCGTCCTTCCGCATCAGTACCACGGGCGTGGTGTTGGGGCAGCAGCAGTCAGCCCAGGTGGTGAAGAAGCTCAAGCTGGTGGGCACGCCCGTGAAGATCTCATTTATCACCCATTCCACCACATTCCACCGCATTCTACCACATTCTACCCCGTATCTCCCAGGCGTCCTTCCGCATCAGCGCTACAGGCGTGGTGTTGGAGCAGCAACAGTCAGCTCAAGTGGTGAAAAAGCTCAAGCTGGTGGGCACGCCCGTGAAGATCTTCCGTCACACCGCGTTCATCAAGGATATGTTCTCCTCCCAGCTTGAGGTGGCACGGTTTGAAGGGGCGGCTGTACGCACTGTATCAGGCATCCGTGGGCAGATCAAGAAGGTACGCGCCGGTTGAAATGGGTCTTTGTGGGTAGTGAGACGGAGGGAAGAGCCGGTGGGCACGCCCGTGAAGATCTTCCGTCACACCGCATTCATCAAGGACATGTTCTCCTCCCAGCTTGAAGTCGCGCGGTTTGAAGGCGCGGCCGTGCGGACCGTGTCCGGCATTCGAGGGTAGATCAAGAAGGTACGTGCTGGTGTGGGTAGGGTTCAACTCGCCGTCACACCGCATTCATCAAAGACATGTTCTCCTCCCAGCTTGAAGTCGCACGGTTCGAAGGGGCGGCCGTGCGGACCGTGTCCGGCATTCGAGGGCAGATCAAGAAGGTACGCGCCGGTTGGAATGGGTTCTTCTGGGTGGTGAGAGCGAAGGAGGGAAGCTGGTGGGCACGCCCGTGAAGATCTTCCGTCACACCGCCTTCATCACCACCACATGTTCTCCTCCCAGCTTGAGGTGGCGGTGAGGGGTCAGTGTGACCATGCCCCTCTCTTACCTCGCCCTTCTAACTTCTTTCTCCCTCCTCCTCTCTTCCCCCTCCCCTCTCCCCAGTCGGACTCCTCTCTCCTCTCCCTTCTCACCTGTCCCCCCTCCTCTCTTCCCTTCTCCTCTCTTCCCCTTCCACTCTCCCCCCTGCCTGAAACACACTAGGCTCTGAAGCATGGGCAGGGGCCGGAGGGCAGTGTGCGGTGCGCCTTTGAAGACAAAATGCTGATGAGAGACATTGTCTTCCTGCGCGCCTGGGTCAAGGTAGCCGTGGCCGTGGAGGGGGGTCAATGTGACCGTGGATCTCGCTTGCCTCATTATTCCACCTCTCCTGCCCCTCTCTCACCATTTCTCCTCTCCTCTCCCCTCCGCCCATATCCCTCTGTTCATCTTCCTGCTTTTCCTTCATGATCTCCCCCACACCAGGCTCTGAAGCATGAGCAGGGGCCGGAGGGCAGTGTGCGATGCGCCTTTGAGGACAAGATTCTGATGAGCGACATTGTCTTCCTGCGCGCCTGGGTCAAGGTCACCGTGGTGGGGGTGAGGGTCAATGTGACCCTGCCCCTCCCTTACCTCATTCTTCTACCTCCCATCTCCCCACTCCCCTCTCGCGGGACCCCTGTCTCCCCGCCCTTCTCCCCCCTCCTTCTCTCCTCCCCCTACCCGCGCCCCTCACCTGCTTTCTTAATACAGGCTCTGAAGCACGGGCAGGGGCCGGAGGGCAGTGTGAGGTGCGCCTTTGAGGACAAGATTCTGATGAGCGACATTGTCTTTCTGCGCGCCTGGGTCAAGGTCACCGTGCCCAAGCTCTACAACCCTGTCTGCACGCTGCTCCAATCAGCGAGCGCCACGTGGCAAGGCATGAAGACTGTGGCTGAACTCAGGCGGGAGTAGCAGCTGCCCATCCCTGTTAACAAGGACTCCCTTTACAAGGTACTGTGCTGCTGTTCACAAATGTTATCGTGGTTCAAGGTAGTGTAGTTCCTTTTGCATAAAATACCTAGAATCTTTTTTTTTTTTGAAGGAGAAAATGCTGCTAATTCGGGACAGTTTTCTATTCAAGTTTTGGAATGGAATGAAGAGTAACCCACAAACATTCTGCTCAGATTCTGCCCCCCCACCCGCCTTAACACCCGCAATCCCCTCTTCCTGTCCCCCAGCCCCCTCTCATCTCTCTCAACCCCTCCCGGCCCATCGAGTGGCACCCGCGTTCCTTCAACCCTCTAAACCCCTTTGTACTCATCATCCATCTCTCTCAACCCCTCACAGCCCATCGAGAGGCGTCCTCGCTCATTCAACCCGCTCAAAGTCCCGGCGAAGCTGCAGGCCGCCCTGCCCTTCTCCTCCAAGCCTAAGGACGAGGCTCGGCGCACAACACCGAGCCTGGAGCAGCAGCGGCCTGCGGTGGTGCTGGAGCCTCAGGAGAGGCGGCTGCACACTATGGTGCAGCAGCTCAACACCATCAAGAACCAAAAGGTACAGTAATACAGTAACACGGTACGTAATGTATTATCATGTTTTATCTGAATGGTGATGGTATCGTGGTGGCAGGGGGTGTATGGTGGTCTTCTTTTATTATTGTTGTTCATATTCTGTATGTGCAATTTTATTATACCCCATGCAGGTGAAGAAGCGGAGGGAGACGACGCGCAAGAAGCGAGCAGAGTACGAGAAGCGCAAGGCAGCGGACGAGGAGGAGCAGAAGTACAGGCGGCGCGAGGAGAAGAGGGAGAAGTACCGGAAGGAGGCGAAGAGGAAGTTCGGGGGGGGGTAGGGGTGGGGATGATGATGGGGGCCAGCCTGGAAAGAAGGGCCGTGGGCTACAGGCTGAGTAGTGGTGATTTCTAGGCCAAATTTGACCTTATTAGTGAGAGCATGCTGTTAATGACCTCTGGTGATGCATGGATCAACTGCTGGTTTTTCGATAATGCTGATGTAGTGTGAAAAAGGCAATTTCTGATTGGGCAGCAGTCAACCTTTGAGACTACGTGCATTAAAGCGTTCGTCTCCAATAACGAGTATGAGCGATTTTCTCCAGCAGTCGCAATGGGGCGGTTGGTTCCGCCCCTCTGTTGCGCTGGCTCACTCCGCTGGTTTGGCGTCTGAGTGCTTGGCTCTGCTGGCTCGGAATTTTCCTGAACGGCCGCGATTCGCCGCACTCCCGCGCATGTGTCACATCCAGCGAGCGCTATTCGCTCACCTTCGTTTAGCGCAGCTAATCTCGCCACGTACCCAGGTTACCCTGCTGAGCATAGATGGTTATCGTTATTTCATCCACGTGACGCTCAGCTGGCTGCTTCTTATTGGCAGTCCCTCCTCAGTTGCGGCGAGCTTACGAAGCAAGGTTGGGCGCATTCCCGCCCGTGATTGCCGCTCGCGTCAGCTAAAGAAAGATGGAACACAAATGCGGACAGGTGGGACGCGTTTCGACGACAGCGCATTTTCGCGGAGGCAACGCAGCGAAGCAGGTGCAGCTTCGCCGAGGCAGGAAGCGGGGAGGCTGCACCGTCTGCGAGTGAACGAACTACCCACATTGTCGAATTTCCCTCGCCACCACAAACACGCAGCGCCTTGCACTGCAACCATGGGGCTCAGCTTGTCAAATGGATAAAAGGCACTGGAACGCGTTCCGGGAATCTCACTACTACCCGCTCCCTCCAAAAAAACACAATCAGCTCTACATAGTCAGCGCTTTTCTCAACCAGCGCATTTTCCTTGCTGCTTCTCGATCTCTTTCACCCGCGCTAGCCACATAGTTGAGTGAGCTTCTTTTTGTTACATACCAAGACTTAATTTGACTACGTCGGCGGCCAGTCTATGGCCGTAGCCCGCGTGTACAGTTTGTTTGCTTCATCCCACGACAACAAGAACCAGCGATCGAGTTCGCCCTTCTCCAAGCGATTCGACCACTCTGTGCGCCCGCTCTCCGAGCTTCGGTGCCGCTTAGAAGACCTCATACCGGACCAACGCGACCGCGTACGGAACCTAAAGACCAATTATGGCTCCGTGTCGCTCGGCGAAACGACCATCGACATGGCGCTTGGCGGAATGCGCGGAATTAAAGGCCTGATCTGGGAACCTTCCATCCTCGACGCAGATCTTGGAATTAAGTACCGCGGCTTGTCCATCCCCGACTGCCAGCGCCTCCTCCCCTCCGCGATACCCGGCGGCGAGCCGCTTCCCGAGGCGCTCTTATGGCTCCTCATCACGGGGGAGGTTCCGACGCCTCTTCAGGCGGCGTCCATCACGGAGGAGCTGAGGCTGCGCGCGGCGAATGTGCCGGATCACGTGTTCACGGTGCTTCGTTCCCTCCCGAAGCATCTCCACCCCATGTCGCAGCTCTCTATTGGTGTAACAGCCCTTCAGTCCACCAGCGAGTTCGCCAAGGCTTATTCTTCCGGCTCCGTGCACAAGACTCGTTACTGGGAGCCCGTGTACGAGGACGCGATGAACCTCATAGCGGGGATACCGGTGATCGCGGCGTTTATCTACCGCCGGGTGTTCAAGGATGGGCGTATGATACCGGCTGACCCTACCCTCGACTACGCCGCGAATTTTGCGCACATGCTTGGATTCGACGACCCCAGCTTTTACGAGCTCATGCGACTCTATTTGACAATTCACGCGGATCATGAGGGCGGGAATGTCAGCGCGCACACCACCCATCTCGTCGGGACGGCTCTTTCGGATCCATACTTGGCATATGCTGCGGGGCTGAATGGCCTGGCGGGCCCCCTGCACGGGCTGGCCAATCAGGAGGTGCTAAATTGGCTTCACGAAGTTCGCGAAGAGCTCGGCGAAGCCCCGACGAAGGAGCAGCTGGAGGGGTTCGTTTGGAAGACGCTCAAGGCGGGGAAAGTGGTGCCAGGTTTCGGACACGCGGTGTTACGGGTTACCGATCCGCGATACATTTCGCAGAGGGAGTTCGCACAGAAGCATCTCCCCGACGATCCCATGTTCCACCTGGTTTCTGACCTGTTCGACGTCGTTCCGGGCGTGTTGACGCAGACGGGGAAAGTCAGGAACCCGTGGCCTAACGTTGATGCGCACAGTGGAATTTTACTCGCGCATTATGGGCTTAACGAGTCGAACTTTTATACGGTGCTCTTCGGTGTTTCCCGCGCGATGGGCGTGCTGTCGCAGCTGATCTGGGACCGCGCCTTGGGATTGCCGATCGAGCGCCCCAAGAGCGTGACGATCAAGTGGCTGGAGGAGCACGGCGAAGCGGCCAAGGCTCGCGAAATGGCGGAGACAAAATCGCGCGCGTTGCTGGAGGTGGTGGAAATGGTAGAGACTGCCTCAAGGCTGTAATGATAAATTCGGGTTTTTTACTCTATCCGAGCTGTGACTGCACGGGGAAGCAATCTCCATGGGCGGTCCTCCAGCTTTGCCACATCGGGTGTTGACCACTCCAACATCGGGTGTTGACCACTCCAACATCGGAACTTCATCCGAACTCTCGTTCCACACAATCGCTCTCAAAAACAAACGCCTGTTGTTTTAGCTAGCTTTCAATTTTTCTCCCTTCTCTATTTTGCCTTAGGACGCTCTGAATTGTGTTGTACAATAAAGTCAGGGTGGCTCCTAGTAGTAGCTAGTCCGAGCAAGCACCGAAGGTGTACCGCCAGAACCGCTAGCCCAGGTTCGTTCTCCTTTGTCGTTCGAGCTTGTAATGTCGTTATGCTGAATAAAAAAGAAATACATCTGCCGCTAATGCTGGTGCTGAACATGGTTTGCCTTCGTGAAGGCGAAGTGCGTGCATGCTTCCAGCACAAGTGAATTGGAAGGTCGCGAGGGATGGAGAGTTGGCGAAACGTTTACACAAATTGCGTCTCTGAGGGCGACCAACATGACGAGGGTTGCATGAACGAGCATAAGCGGGTGACAATGTTCGCGCAAGTGTTTCCGCGCTACTTTGGGACTGGCGAAAAACAAAACCGTTACATGTTTCGGAAGCGTGGGTAGAAAATATTTGTCCAATGGACAAGACCATCCAGCTTCGACCTTGCGTGATGTGCGTTTCGTAGCGGTTCGTACAGATTTTAGAGCGTCTGGGTAGGGTGACGAGCAAAAGGAAAGTCACGTCCTAATATTCAGTCTAGTCTATGCTGGCGAGACAGTTATTACCAAGAGGGCTCACCGACAGTTACATCGAGTGGACTCTTACCGGGTACCCCCTTTCGTAACTTCCTTACTGAATCATGGCAGACGCTATGGACATCGACGCGCCCGATTCGACCCGCAATGCTACGGCAACGTGTCCACCAGATCCCGCGGTGCCAAACGCGGACGATTTGCCGTCTCCGCAAACAGTGACGGCGCGCAAGCAACGAGAGCCACAGGATGCGGACGACGCGCCAGATAAAGGATGTCCGGAGCGCGAGAGCTCGAGCCGTAGCGGCGAAGAAGACCCGGTCGTGTCGCTGACGCGGCGCGGGGAGGAAGGGACGCAGCGATTGGTCGAAGCCGCGGAAGGCGTGCTGTCCACGCTGAACCTCGTCATGTGCAACGGCGCCTTCTGGGAAGCTTCTTCCGAAACAGCAGGCACTGGCAGTGCAAGCTCTGAGCAACAACAGCATCAGCAAGAGCAGCAGCGGCGGACCTCGGGATTGCCGCCGGATGCGGCAGCAGCCGCCATAGAATTGGCTCACCTTCGTTATAAGAACATATCGTCAGAGCTCCGGTCCCTGCTTCTTCGGCTGCAGGACGAGATGGAGAAAGAGACAAAAAAGGCCGGCCAGCCCGGGAGCGGCAGGGACGGAATCCAAGGGGCAGAGTCCCAGAGGGTGGGCCTTGGGTTTGACCCAGAGTCTGCTGCACCTGATAGTGCACCACCTGTCCACGCATCATCTGAACGCGCGGCACCTGAAGCGACACCTGAAACGGCACCTGATGCATCTGCTTCAGTGTCTGCAGCTGAGTCGCTGTCAGTAGAGAAGTTGACCGCACGAGCAGCGACCCTGAGAAAGGTGCGAAGAATTACCGAAAACCCTGACGTGTTGACCTAAGATATGATCGATGAGTGAAATACATTCATCATAGTCTGTGAAGGCATCTGAAGGGGCAGCTGAGTGCAGCAATGTAGGATGGATGATGGATGATGGTTGATCGATGATGGATGATGGGTGATGGATGAAGGGTTACCAGACAACCTCGCTCACTCACCCCTCTTTGCATATCCCACATCACGTGACATCCCAACTCACTCTCCCTTTCCGTAACAGCAAATTAGGAGGTGCAACGTCCAACTGAGAGCAGCCATGGAAGCTCAGAGGAAGATACCGGAGAGTGACACTCACCCTCCCCTCTTTTCTTTTTCTCTTTGCGCCTCCCGCCGCCCGTGTCACTCAGCAAGTTCGGAGGTGCAACGTGCGGCTGAGAGCAGCCATGGAGGCCCTGAGGGGGATTTTGGATGACGTCACTCTATTTCAAGCGCCCCAGCTGCTGCTGCTCTCGCAATCCTGACTGTCGAATTCAATCCAGTGACATGTCCCAGGATTAGCCTTCTATGAATCACCTCACCCACATGCTTTCTGAAGCCACTTGCATTGGTGTACATCTGGTGTGCTTGGATACCCTAAGTGTGAGACAATCAGTGGATGAATGCCTACTTGTTACATTAAAGCAGCAGTAATCTTCACTTCATGTTTGTTATTGCAGATAATGAACCTGGTATGGTATGCCTCTCTTTCACTCGCTCAAATCCAGAGCCTGAGTCCCTCACATCCATCACCTACTCTTCTTCCTCTCCCCGTTTCCCATCAACGCCTCCTTCTCCCCTTTCCCTTCCCCCACTGCCTCCTTTCGTGCCACCGCCGCTCCCAAGTCCGATCCCGCCCGCTTCTTCTTACCCCTAGACTTCCGCCACTTCAGGAAAATCTGATAGCTTAACCCAGCAAACACCATCCCCACACCCGCCCACTGCTGCCCTGTGAGCGGATTTCCGTTCCACACGGCCGAGATCAGAATACTCATGAATTTCCGGGTCGTGGTGATGGTCGTGTTGACCAGCGCTCCAAACTTGTTGATGGTCAGGAAAATGAAATTCTGCCCGACGGCGCCGCAGAGGCAGAAGAGGAACACGTCCACGGCAGCTTCCGGGTGCGTGCGGCAGAAGTCAATGGCTGCCATGCCGCCGCCGCCCGGCCAGGCGAACATGTAGATCGCCATGTAGAGTGTGCCCCATATGTTCATGCCCAGCATCAGATGGTAAGTGGCTGTGAAGGGGTACCTGGAACGGCATAAGGTTGGGTGAAAAAACGTTTCGATTGAGCAAAAGTGATGTGTTCAGCCTCTCAAACCTCGTTGGCATCCAGGCCTCATGCATGGGTGCTTTGGGAAAAAAACAAGCATAAGTGTAATAATATTAAAATTATCACAGGAGGAGAAAAAAAAAAAAAAAAAAAAAAAAAAAAAAGTACAACTCCCTGAAAGGTGATGAAGCCGTGAGACGGGTTGATGAACCCATGCAGCCCCAAGTTGAACCTTAGAAAGAGAGTTGACGATCAAGCCCGACTCACTTGGCAAGTACTGCTGAGTGGCGTTGGTGAACCCGTTTAACCCCGGGTGGATTTGTGACGTCCCAAGTGAAATTAGAGTAAGCACCAAGCCCAGCTCACTCACTCAGCAGTGCTTTTGCCTCGAGAATCAACTCACTTGGGCGGCGATGGAGTCCTGAGTGGCGTTGGCGAATCCATGCGGGCCCAGCTGATTCTTGACGTCTTTAAACTTATAAAAGGCATCATTTCAATAATTAATCAGGCACGACTCACTTGGCGGTGATGGAGTCTTGAGTCGCGTTCGTGAACCCATCCAGACCCAGGTTGAGGAAGCAGAGGGTATAGCCCAGGGGCGCGTTGGGGCTGGCGAGCTTGCTCATCGCCTTGCTGGAGCTCTGTGGGGAGAGTGGGGAGGGAGGGGGGTGGGCCGGGGAAGGGGGACGAAGTGAAGGTGGGAAGCCGAGGGTGTAGCCCAGGGGCGCGTTGGGGCTGGCGAGCTTGCTCATCGCCTTGCTGGAGCTCTGTGGGAGAAAAAGAGAGGGAGGGAGGTGGGGCAGGATGAGCAAAAGGGAGAGTGGGGAGGGAGAAGATGTGTGTGGGCGTTTTGGGAGTGGAGGGAGAGGGGGGGGGAGGGGAGTGGGAAGGGAGAAAAGGGAGGGAAGGGAGTGGGAAGGGAACGGAAGTGTGTGGGTGTTTTGGGAGGGAGAGGGGGAGGGAGGGGCGGAGGAGTGTAGGGGAGGAGTGGAGGAGGAAAAGAAGGATGGAGAGGGTGTGTGGTGTGTGTGGTGTGTGGTGAGTGTGTGGTGTGTGTGTGGTGAGTGTGTGGTGAGTGTGTGGTGAGTGTGTGGTGAGTGTGTGTGTAAAAGGATATCAGACCTTTTAGTGACACCGCGCAATAAAGCGGCAAGATGAAGCACGAGTGTTGAAATGGAAACAACCCACCTTAAAGAGGGCAAACATGGAAACTCCCCCGGCGACAAGCAGAGTGCAGACGTACTCCGGAAGAGTGTAGCGCACCCCATAGATGATGGCTCCCGCTAGCATCACTGCAAGTGTGAGAGAGTGTGTGGGAGAGTGTGTGGGAGAGTGTGCGGGAGTGCATGGGAATGCATGAGTGTGTGCAAACAGGAAGAGCAGAGGGAGGAAAGGAGACACGTGGCCTCTGGAAGAGTGTAGCGCACCCCATAGATGATGGCTCCCACTAGCATTACTGCGAGTGTGAGAGCGAGTGCATGGGGGTGCGGGTAAGGGAGTGCATGGGAGTGCGGGAATTGATGGGAGAGTGCAGGAATGGCGGGGCAGGGAGAGGGGGGTAAAACGCATTCCGTAGGTAATGGGTGGGTAGTGCACCAGCCGGAAGCACTGAGAGTGACACGACAAGGTATGCAATTGAGCCAATAGGACATAAGATGGCAACTTGCGCCGACACGTAAGCCCTGACCGGCTTCTGAGGCGCCTTAAAAGCCAGCCGGAAGCACTGAGAGTGACACGACAAGGCATGCGAATGAGCCGGTGGGACATGAGATGGCAGCTTGCATTGACACGTATGCCCTGATCGGCTAGACACACTGGATCCGTTAGAGTCAGATGGAAACGCATTGACCAATATTTAATAGAGACATTCAACCCTACTTGATATTTTATATTTACATTTGACTACACATATACATATGCATATATAAAGCTATATATGCGCACATAATCAAACATGCAAATGCAGGAAACCCTCACAAGGCGGCAGGCACATACCTGGAATCATCTTGGATGACTTGGCCAGGACCTGATGGAAAGGACAATAATGGGTTGCAAAAAGAGTGAAACAACAAATGCTGTGAATGATTCACTCGGGGGAGCGAGATTCATGCAAAGTGCACAAGGCTGGGAGTGGTTCACTCTCCACTAGACCTTGAAGGTTCCAGAGTGTATGGAGAGGATAGGATATAGGAGTTATATAGGATATCTCACAAGGTCAGAGAGAGCAATCAGAGAGAGGGCAGTGAGAGAGGGTAGTGAGAGAGGGCAGTGAGAGAGGGCAGTGAGAGAGGGCAGTGAGAGAGGGCAGTGAGAGAGGGCAGTGAGAGAGGGCAGTGAGAGAGGGCAGTGAGAGAGGGCAGTGAGAGAGGGCAGTCAGAGAGGGCAGTGAGAGAGGTTGGTAGCGCACCTGGGCGGGGTAGGAGATGTATTTGAGCGCAATGAGGCCGCATGCCGGGCCGATGGTGTTGGTAACCCCGGGCAGCCAGTAGGACAGCAGCGGCGGCTGTACTGTCATGTTGGTTCCCAGAATGTTGAGCACTGGAGGGAAAAAGGTGAGTGAGGGGACAGTAGAGGCGAGTGAGAGGCGAGTGAGGGAGTGAGGTCTGTTAGCGGTGACTACATTGTCATGCTGTCAAGCCGGTAGGAAAACACGCAGAGTACTTGGGGGGAGAGAGAGAAGAAGGTGGGTACGCATTGAGGAAGGTGACGAGGGAGCAGACGAGGCTCTGAGCGAGGTTGAGGAAGGTTAAGTTGAGAAGAGGGATGTAGAGAAGGAGGAGAGAGTGAGGGAGGTAGAGAAGGAGGTAGAGAGAGGGAGAGAGGGAGGGAGGGAGAGAGCGGAGGTAGAGAGGGAGGGAGAGAGAGAGGTACAGAGGAAAGGAGGGAGGGAGAGAGCGGAGGTAAAAAATATGGGAGGTGGAGGTATGCGACGCACTGAGGAAGGCGACAACGGAGCAGACAAGGCTCTGCGCGAGGTTGAGGAACGCCAGGTGCTCGAAACGCTTGTTGTCCGGCGCGAAACGCTTCGTGGAGCTGAATGGAGTGAGGGAGGGAGCGAGGGAGGGAGGGAGGGAGAGGGAAGGAGGAAGGGGGGAAGGGAGGGGAGGGAGGGGGATAAGGGGAGTGCACAACAGGTGCTCGAACCGCCTGTTGTCCGGCGCGAAACGCTTCGTGGAGCTGAGTGAAGTGAGTGAGGGAGGAGGAGAGAAGGGGGAGAAAGATTGGGAGGGGGAGAGGGATGAGGGGAGCGCACAACAGGTGCTCGAACCGCCTGTCGTCCGGCGTGACCCGCTTTGTGGAGCTGAATGGGATGAGGGAGGGAGGGAGAGGGAAGGAGACTCTGCGAAATGCGAACTGCGAAATGAGAGAATATCTGTTTCTTGAGATGCCTCAGTAATCAACTAAGAAAACCTCCTAATTGGAGTGAGTGAGCCTGGAAAGAACGCATCACGCTCGAAACTTGAAAAGGATTTCGGATCGCACTGCGCAATTGCTCTCGTGCTGAATTCAACACTCGCTGTGCAAAGATGCGATTTTTTCTGCGATAATGCATTTCGCGAAAGGATGTAACAACGAACTCTAGGGAACCTCGACGGTGATGACAGCTATGCGTCACGAATCCACGGGATCAGCGGTCATTGTGCAATTCTGCAACATCCAGCGGCTATAAACTTTCAGAATTAACCTTCCTGTAGTGTCCAACGGCTATAAACTACCAGAATCCGCCGTCCGTCAATATCGAACGGCTGAAGAGTTTCAAGTTGAGAGAGGACAATTACAGATTTTCCTGGACGACCCCTTGTGTAAGGTACGCCGCCCAGATGCCGGTGACGCAGACGGCGAGAAGAAACGCTCGTTTCCACGCGGTGGAGGCTCCATGGCCCAGATGGCCGGCGGCAGCCATGGCTGATCAGCGATGCTTTGATGATTGTGGAGGTCACGACGAGGTTGTGGAGAGGTGTCGTACAAATTTGTTGATAAAACTTACAGGATTAGTGCTAACATGTGTGGATGGTGTAGTCGGTTATCACGCCAGTCTCACACATTGGAGGTCTCCGGTTCGATTCCGGGTTCAGACACGGTGTAATTTTTTTAAATGACGAACACAGTTACTCGCTGTCTTCCAGAACACAGATTGTTGTTACTGGTCAGACTGTAAGTGAAGCACCCACACGTTTGCCCTTTATGGCAAAGCTTCCACGCACAAGCTTCTGCATCTCCATAGCTTTCATAAAAATGCACCACCAATATCTGTATGCATGCACGATATAGACAGATGATTCAGCCCTTAGATCAAAATCAGGCAGCAGCAGAGGCCACGTAATCAATTGCTTCCTTGCAGATGCAGGTCATGCTGGCTTCAGGACCATACACCTGTAAACGTGCTCCCGTGGAGTACATGAATGGTGGGAGGTAGAAGCAACAGCAGCCGTGGGAAAACATTAAGTGAGAACGGATGCATGCACAAGAAGGGCCTTGCCAAATTGCATGCACAAGAAGGGCCTTGCCAATTCACATGCACTTTCACATGAGGCTTAGCAAAAGCAAGCATCGTCCAGTTTTTTTGTTTCACATACCAGGATGCAATCTCCAAATCTCGGTGCCCAGCCCGCATCTTCAAGCCCCTTCTGGGAGTTGGGCCGGTTAATTTGACGCATAAGATTACGCCATTTACGTTTCACACACACCTGGATGGGGATGCCAATCTCGGTACCAAGCTCTCGCATCTTCTCCAGCCACTTGAGGTAGTTGGGCCCTGTTTTACGAAACATCTCAAATCAAGCCATTCTTGCTCCACACACGCACCTGGATGGGGATGCCAATCTCGGTGCCGAGTTCACGCATCTTCTCAAGCCCCTTGAGGTAGTTGGGCCCTCCACGGCGCACGAAGATACGCACTTTGGCATCCTTGATCTGCCTCTCCTGGTGGAGTGACAAGGGAGGGTGGGATATGGGGTATGGGCATGTTGAGTAAAGAGACACACACAAAGATACGCACCCTGGCATCCTTGAGCTGCCTCTACTGTTGGAGGGATGATGGATGGGAGGGATATGGGGAATGGACATGGTGAGTGCATGAACGTAATGGGCACATGGAGGGAGAGGGCGCACCGAAAGAGGACAGATGGAAGGTTGTGATGTGGGTGCTCTTACTAACAGCGGGGTGCTATAGGTGGGCGCGAGCTTAGTTGCGGAAGACGCTCGACGCGTCTTGCGTCTAGCGTCTAGACGCAAGACACACTTTTAGACGCAAGATGCTTGAGCGATTCTTTTTCGGGCAGCCCGAAAAGAAAAATCGCGCGCCCGAAATTGAAATTCGCCATTTCGACGCGAAATTCAATTTCGCGCCATTAGAACCCCTTCCCACCCATTTCGACCACAAAAACCAGCCCCCCAAGCAAATTTGAATCCCCCCCAACCAAAATTGAACACAAACCACACTTCACCGCTTGGTATCTAGAAAACCCAACCTCTATGGCTAACCACCAAGAGGTTGGGGAGCACAAATCCCTCATTTGTGCTCCCCTACCTTCATTTCTTCCAAATCTATTTCGAAAACCCTTAGGGTTTAGCTACTTCCACCGCGCAACCATGTCTTCTAGTATCCATTGTGACATAGGTGCATGTCCCCCACCCTCCCCATGCCCCATAGAACTTTTTTTGGTCTGCCCGAACATTTGTTTTAGGCCTGCCCGGGTTTTCGTCTAATACTGCGTCTAATCTGCACAGTCTAGCGTCTAACGTCTTAGACGCTGAGTCTAGACGGACGCGTCTAAGACGCTAGACGCGTCTTCCGCAACTAAGGGCGCGAGGCGAGGGCAAGAGTGGGAGAGAGGAGACGATTGGAGACAGGAGATAGTTGGAGAAGGGGAAGAGACATGGAGTAATGGTAATGTCACATGCATGTGCCACTCGGGCACTCACAAGCTACCCCATCCGTGGCGCCCCACAAACTACCCCATCCGTGGCGCCCCACAAACTACCCCATCCGTGGCGCCCCACAAACTACCCCATCCTTGGCGCCCCACAAACTACCCCATCCGTGGCGCCCCACAAACTACCCCATCCTTGGCGCCCCACAAACTACCCCATCCTTGGCGCCCCACAAACTACCCCATCCTTGGCGCCCCACAAACTACCCCATCCTTGGCGCCCCACAAACTACCCCATCCTTGGCGCCCCACAAACTACCCCATCCTTGGCGCCCCACAAACTACCCCATCCTTGGCGCCCCACAAACTACCCCATCCTTGGCGCCCCACAAACTACCCCATCCTTGGCGCCCCACAAACTACCCCATCCTTGGCGCCCCACAAACTACCCCATCCTTGGCGCCCCACAAACTACCCCATCCTTGGCGCCCCACAAACTACCCCATCCTTGGCGCCCCACAAACTACCCCATCCTTGGCGCCCCACAAACTACCCCATCCTTGGCGCCCCACAAACTACCCCATCCTTGGCGCCCCACAAACTACCCCATCCTTGGCGCCCCACAAACTACCCCATCCTTGGCGCCCCACAAACTACCCCATCCTTGGCGCCCCACAAACTACCCCATCCTTGGCGCCCCACAAGCTACCCCATCCGTGGCGCCCCACAAACTACCCCATCCGTGGCGCCCCACAAACTACCCCATCCGTGGCGCCCCACAAACTACCCCATCCGTGGCGCCCCACAAACTACCCCATCCTTGGCGCCCCACAAACTACCCCATCCGTGGCGCCCCACAAACTACCCCATCCTTGGCGCCCCACAAACTACCCCATCCTTGGCGCCCCACAAACTACCCCATCCTTGGCGCCCCACAAACTACCCCATCCTTGGCGCCCCACAAACTACCCCATCCTTGGCGCCCCACAAACTACCCCATCCTTGGCGCCCCACAAACTACCCCATCCTTGGCGCCCCACAAGCTACCCCATCCGTGGCGCCCCACAAACTACCCCATCCGTGGCGTCCCACAAACTACCCCATCCGTGGCGCCCCACAAACTACCCCATCCGTGGCGCCCCACAAACTACCCCATCCTTGGCGCCCCACAAACTACCCCATCCTTGGCGCCCCAAAAACTACCCCATCCTTGGCGCCCCACAAACTACCCCATCCTTGGCGCCCCACAAACTACCCCATCCTTGGCGCCCCACAAACTACCCCATCCTTGGCGCCCCACAAACTACCCCATCCTTGGCGCCCCACAAACTACCCCATCCGTGGCGCCCCACAAACTACCCCATCCGTGGCGCCCCACAAACTACCCCATCCGTGGCGCCCCACAAACTACCCCATCCTTGGCGCCCCACAAACTACCCCATCCGTGGCGCCCCACAAACTACCCCATCCGTGGCGCCCCACAAACTACCCCATCCGTGGCGCCCCACAAACTACCCCATCCTTGGCGCCCCACAAACTACCCCATCCGTGGCGCCCCACAAACTACCCCATCCGTGGCGCCCCACAAACTACCCCATCCTTGGCGCCCCACAAACTACCCCATCCTTGGCGCCCCACAAACTACCCCATCCTTGGCGCCCCACAAACTACCCCATCCGTGGCGCCCCACAAACTACCCCATCCGTGGCGCCCCACAAACTACCACATCCTTGGCGCCCCACAAACTACCCCATCCTTGGCGCCCCACAAACTACCCCATCCTTGGCGCCCCACAAACTACCCCATCCGTGGCGCCCCACAAACTACCCCATCCTTGGCGCCCCACAAACTACCCCATCCTTGGCGCCCCACAAACTACCCCATCCGTGGCGCCCCACAAACTACCCCATCCATGGCGCCCCACAAACTACCCCATCCTTGGCGCCCCACAAACTACCCCATCCTTGGCGCCCCACAAACTACCCCATCCTTGGCGCCCCACAAACTACCCCATCCTTGGCGCCCCACAAACTACCCCATCCTTGGCGCCCCACAAACTACCCCATCCTTGGCGCCCCACAAACTACCCCATCCTTGGCGCCCCACAAGCTACCCCATCCGTGGCGCCCCACAAACTACCCCATCCGTGGCGCCCCACAAACTACCCCATCCGTGGCGCCCCACAAACTACCCCATCCGTGGCGCCCCACAAACTACCCCATCCTTGGCGCCCCACAAACTACCCCATCCGTGGCGCCCCACAAACTACCCCATCCTTGGCGCCCCACAAACTACCCCATCCTTGGCGCCCCACAAACTACCCCATCCTTGGCGCCCCACAAACTACCCCATCCTTGGCGCCCCACAAACTACCCCATCCTTGGCGCCCCACAAACTACCCCATCCGTGGCGCCCCACAAACTACCCCATCCTTGGCGCCCCACAAACTACCCCATCCTTGGCGCCCCACAAACTACCCCATCCTTGGCGCCCCACAAACTACCCCATCCTTGGCGCCCCACAAACTACCCCATCCTTGGCGCCCCACAAACTACCCCATCCTTGGCGCCCCACAAACTACCCCATCCTTGGCGCCCCACAAACTACCCCATCCTTGGCGCCCCACAAACTACCCCATCCTTGGCGCCCCACAAACTACCCCATCCTTGGCGCCCCACAAGCTACCCCATCCGTGGCGCCCCACAAACTACCCCATCCGTGGCGTCCCACAAACTACCCCATCCGTGGCGCCCCACAAAACTACCCCATCCGTGGCGCCCCACAAACTACCCCATCCTTGGCGCCCCACAAACTACCCCATCCTTGGCGCCCCACAAACTACCCCATCCTTGGCGCCCCACAAACTACCCCATCCTTGGCGCCCCACAAACTACCCCATCCTTGGCGCCCCACAAACTACCCCATCCTTGGCGCCCCACAAAACTAACCCCATCCGTGGCGCCCACAAACTACCCCATCCGTGGCGCCCCACAAACTACCCCATCCGTGGCGCCCCACAAACTACCCCATCCTTGGCGCCCCACAAACTACCCCATCCGTGGCGCCCCACAAACTACCCCATCCGTGGCGCCCCACAAACTACCCCATCCGTGGCGCCCCACAAACTACCCCATCCTTGGCGCCCCACAAACTACCCCATCCGTGGCGCCCCACAAACTACCCCATCCGTGGCGCCCCACAAACTACCCCATCCTTGGCGCCCCACAAACTACCCCATCCGTGGCGCCCCACAAACTACCCCATCCGTGGCGCCCCACAAACTACCCCATCCGTGGCGCCCCACAAACTACCCCATCCGTGGCGCCCCACAAACTACCCCATCCTTGGCGCCCCACAAACTACCCCATCCTTGGCGCCCCACAAACTACCCCATCCTTGGCGCCCCACAAACTACCCCATCCTTGGCGCCCCACAAACTACCCCATCCTTGGCGCCCCACAAACTACCCCATCCGTGGCGCCCCACAAACTACCCCATCCGTGGCGCCCCACAAACTACCCCATCCGTGGCGCCCCACAAACTACCCCATCCTTGGCGCCCCACAAACTACCCCATCCTTGGCGCCCCACAAACTACCCCATCCTTGGCGCCCCACAAACTACCCCATCCTTGGCGCCCCACAAACTACCCCATCCTTGGCGCCCCACAAACTACCCCATCCTTGGCGCCCCACAAACTACCCCATCCGTGGCGCCCCACAAACTACCCCATCCGTGGCGCCCCACAAACTACCCCATCCTTGGCGCCCCACAAACTACCCCATCCTTGGCGCCCCACAAACTACCCCATCCTTGGCGCCCCACAAACTACCCCATCCTTGGCGCCCCACAAACTACCCCATCCGTGGCGCCCCACAAACTACCCCATCCGTGGCGCCCCACAAACTACCCCATCCGTGGCGCCCCACAAACTACCCCCATCCTTGGCGCCCCACAAACTACCCCATCCGTGGCGCCCCACAAACTACCCCATCCTTGGCGCCCCACAAACTACCCCATCCTTGGCGCCCCACAAACTACCCCATCCGTGGCGCCCCACAAACTACCCCATCCTTGGCGCCCCACAAACTACCCCATCCTTGGCGCCCCACAAACTACCCCATCCGTGGCGCCC